GGGCGGGCGGGCCCGAGGCGCGCGTGGTGCGTGCGCTGTGCGCGGCGCCCAACGACGCGGTGGGCGCGCTGGGCCAGCTGCCGCGCAACACGCGCCTGCTGTACCTGCACTCCTACCAGTCGCTGCTGTGGAACCGAGCCGTCTCCGAGCGACTGCGCCGGCACGGACTCGCGCCCGCCGTCGGAGATCTCGTGCCGCTCGCCAATATTGACAAAGAAGGTTAGTTAATCTCTCACTTACTCACTCATTCACTTTCACTAATAGCTCTCTGACTCGTTCTCATTCGCTTCCATTCACACACTCACTTTACATACACATACTTACACCTCCATACACTTATGTCGGAATACTGAAACGCTACTCAATTTTAAGTCGCGCTTAAGTATAGTTCTGTCTCCACTAATTCTTCGTAAAATAACAGAGATGGCACGATATTTAAGCACGACTCAAAATTGAGTAACGTTTCAATATTCCGGCATTACTCTCCCACTCATTCAAAGTCCCACGCTCACTAATTGACACTCACTCGATTCTATCTATTCACTTTCATTCACTTATACTCGCTATCCCACCCACTTTAAATTTAGTTCAACTTTTATATGATCGATTTTTATTAATGTTTCGATACGTACTTTCTAAAATTACCCAGATGAATTCGAAGATGAAGATTCAGATGCAGAAGAGAATGAAGCTGATGGTAAAAATGATAAGCAACAAGCAAATAACAGTCAAAATGACATTAAGACTGAGAAGCAAAGTATCAAAAAAGAAAGGACATCATCGCAATCAGAACAAAGCAGTGTCAAAGACAAGGAAAAAGACAAAAAGAATTCGTCTAAGGACGAGGAAAAGCCAAAAGTACCAGTAAAGGTTTTGACTCAAGAGGATGTAGACAGTGGGAAATATACCATGGCCGATGTCGTGATGCCCCTGCCCGGGTACTCGGTGGACTACCCGCCTAATATGCTAGACTATTATGAGCAGCTACTCAGTGATGCTGGTCTAACTTTAGACATGAAGCATAAGATCAAGTAAGTTTTCAAGTTACTTAAGTTCTTTTTTTCCTCCACTTTTTTTTCTTCTTTGCAAACATTTCTCTTACTATTTATCTCTCATTTGATGTGTTTCTTAAAATATCATGATGACAATAACAAGCTTTCCTGGGCCTTTAGCCAAACGCCACTTTAGCGCTTGTCTACAGAGAGAGTAGAAATCAAAATGTACGGGAATGACACTGACAAATGTCAAAATTTACGTCAATTCCATATAATTTGGTTTTCTACTCTACATGTAGACAAGCGCTAAATGGCATTTGGCTACAGCAGCTGGTATCAGAATATGTTAATTTCTTTTGGCATCTTGTAGGTTTTAAATGATGTTAATGATGCCCAACATCTGGTAGTAGAATGTAGCAAATATGTTGGAGGCTGAGAATCACTGATACGTGAATTTAAATTGAATGCGTTCGATGTTGGGTGTTTTTCCTCTATTCTAGCGAATCCCACTTCGTCTGCAGCCCTATATAAGATCTTCCTGCATCAGTAATACTTTGACCAATTTAATTAATTAAGTATGTTAGATATAAGAAAATATATCCTAACGGGGCTGACATGTTTCTGAACGAAAAGTCCCTAAAACCATAGATGATAAAAAATGTCCCCAGTCACAAGTGAAAGTTATAGTAACTTACTTAAGGGATTTAGTTCAGCACTCAGCAGTGTTTTCTTATATGATGATTTATTGCTTTGAAATGGAGATAACATGAATGATGCCATTCCAGGAGCTACCGTCTGTGCGGCGCGTACCGTCGCGTGGTGGTCCGTCCGCGTGACGTCACGTGGCGCGCCGTGCGGTACTCCGACCCCTTCGCGGACCTCATCGCCTCCGACCTCGACCAACTCAACAACAAGACCATCGACGCCATCAGAGACGGTAACTACTACTTACCTACCACTTCTCTTTGACTAGATACACTTGTTTACCGTAGTAATACCGTAATATACTTACTGTAATTACGAATAAACTTCTGATAAATATTGACCATCTCTTCATGTTAGAAAATAAAAGATAGGTGAATGAAGAAAGATTGGATACCATTTAGAGGATTCAATCCCGGCCCATTTTTCCAGTCCCGGGATTTCGGGATTATCTAAAGTCAATCCCGGGATCCCGGGACAGTCCCGGGATAGAAAGAAGTAACAGAAAGACAGTAATTTATATATCAAAATCAACTATTAATCATCAGTTCAATCTACAAAAAACGAAACAAAAATAATATTTTCTTCTAATAAAATAATAAACAAACAAACAAGGAACTTCTTTACTTAGTGTCATAGTTTGTTTATTTTGATTCACATAAAATCTTTAAAAAATCAACTTCTAAACACTTGTTTAGATAAAAATTAAAAATGACTTAATTCTAAAGAGATCAGTAATACAAGGTAATTTATAAATTATTTCTTTCAACTTCGAAAATAATATCGAAGAAATAGTAAAGCATCCAACGACTCATCAGAAAGCTTGCTTCTTAATTTGTTGCACAAATATGAAGAGGCAGAAAAAGCGCGCTCAGGCTCAATGGAAGTTGGAGGAATCGTCAATAATTTTTTATAAGTCTTCTCCAAATTATAACCTTGTGTGGAACTAGCTTCATAAAGATTCATTTCTTGTTTAATGATCTCAAAAAGATCCATTAGCAATTACAAATGAAATCAGATGTGTAAACAAGATGGCCGTTAAAACTTCTAATGTGCGTTTCGCTTCGTTTCATGCATATTTTTATTCTACATCACAAAAATGAATCTCAAAATGCATTGGTAAGAGCATAAATTCCAATCCCGAAAATCCCGGGATACTTAAAAAATAATCCCGAAAATTACGGGACCGAAATTTGATCGGGATCCCGGGATCCCGGGCTTCGAGATCTCGGGATCGAATCCTCTAATACCATTTCTATCTTTATTAGACAGAAACTTAGCTTAGTCACGATGATGATGTGAAAGTATACCTATGTAATGTTTTTATTGAGTTCATTATTTTTAATTTTATTGGAGTGTAGTTTCACATAAAAAGTATGTACCCTTAACCGACGAGCATGCATGAAAAGACTGATGACTGTTGATGAAACGAGGAAGTATGTAAGAATCGAAGCAATTGGCGTTCCATAGTCCCCCCATGGGGGTTGGCAGAGACTATGGAACGACTTGGGAAAGACAGGTGTGAAATTACGTATGTAGTATGTAAATTACGTACGTAATCACATTTGTAAATACAAATTATACCGATAAAAGTGATGGTTATTATTTAGCAATACTGTTTTATTGTTTTATCTTGATTTCTTTGTTTCAGATGGAAAATACAGAGCTCTTCTACTAAACATGACTCTGCCCGCAAGTTGTTACGCGACAATGGCATTGAGAGAGTTACTCAAAGTAGACACTTCGAGTGATAACCAGGCTTCTCAGAATAATTATCATAAATCTCGTAAGAGTTCGACTACTGAGGAAAATGAGGGAGAAGAGAAAAAGAAGAAGGAAGCTGACAGCCCGGAGAAGGCAAAAGGAGCTGACACCGCAGAGAAAACAAAAGAAGCTGATAGTGCAGAGAAAGAAAGAGCTAACGGCTCGGAGAAAGTAAAGGTGGAACATGACAGTGAAGTCAAATTGGAGATTGAGGCTGAAAGTGGAGAGAAACGTAAGATGTTGAGTGAGAGTGAGCAGACAGAAGATGTTAAGAGACAGAAAGTTGACAAATAAATAAAAGAGTTTTTATTTTAATGTTGAAACTGTGTTTTATTTGTGTGACGTTGCGGTTGCTTTGGGTAGGTCGGGGAGGCCTGGAACAAAATAAATTGATGTTAGAATATTATCGGATCATCAGTTACATACGGTTACGTAACAGACGATTCATTGCGATCGGATAGCGAAAGATACCGCAAAATTGGAGCCCGTCTTCTCTTGGTTCATCAGGAATTCCAGATAGATTTGATCTAAATGATTCATGGTCCAAGATATGACTCCTAGTCTATATAATAGTATACTAAATGTGGGTTTTAAACGTTATAAGTTATTATTAATTGTTCAAAAACCTTATTTACTTGAGTCTCAATTTGTGATTACGGATTATAAAATTTTCACCCACCATAGTAGGTGAAAATTGTAATTAGTTTGTTTAGCAATTTTCCCACTTTCGTTGATGACGGATGTCAGACAGTGAAGTGAATTACTGTACGATAGGAATGTCCATACGTGTAAGAGTCCATGGCCGCAGTGGCCAGGCGTGCCCCGCGGCGGCCGCGTGCGCGCGCAGCTCGCCCGGCGTCGGGAACGAGCGCGGGCAACACGCGCACTTGTGGGGCTTGCTCTGTCACACACCACGTCGTTTGTATTAGGTACACACAGACACAACCACACACGTTATGGAACAAGCCGGTAAATGAGCAGACGCATCACCTGATGGTAAGCGATCGGCATCGCGCATGTACACTTTGGAAAACCAGAGGCGTTACAAGTGCGTTACCGGCCTTTTGGGGATTAGGAATTTGAGGATTGTGGAGGATTCAGGGATTGGAGAAGTCAGTAATTGGGCCTCCGGTAACCTCAATCACACTATAAAACAACGCAAGTGTTGTTCACGTTGTCTATTGTCTGTAAGGCCGTGGTATCACTCCGGTCAAGCCGGCCCATTCGTGCAGAAGCATGGCTCTCCCACACTTCTAAGTTATAAAAAATAACGTTACATAACTTTACGCCTTCCAAACTTTCAATCTAACTATATATGTTAAGTTAAGAGTTCCATGTAGATTATCGGCAAATAGGGCGTATTGTCACAATTAGGTAGACACATCAATCATATAAGATTCCGTACTGAGAAATATTTTCGGAAAATCGAAAGCTTAGCTTACAGTAACTTTGCTCGCCCTAGGAACAAAAAATCTTAAGATACCCTGATCGTCAGTCACACTTGCGACCATCGCAGAAACCGTGTTAAATAGAAATTAAACAGCTAGGTACGTTACTTATGTAGGTTCGAGATAGGTAGGCGTTAACTACCCAACTGCCACAACCACTTACCTTCGTGTGGGTCATCCGATGATAGTACAAGTTGGAACTAGCAGTGAAACATTTGCCACATTCTGGACATTTATGGGGTTTTTCACCTGCGGGAAATTGTAAATGATATGTAAGTATCTTATTGATATTAATGATAGTAGGCACTTGGTAGGTACTTCATAGTTTAACACAGTAACTTACCGGTGTGTATTCTCCTGTGCGTGTTTAGTGAGCTAGATGTGCTGAAGCCCTTATTGCACACGTTACAAATGTGTGGCTTTTCGCCTGAAACAATACGGAGAACTCGATATTATTTATATCAATAATACCATTAACGTTTTGGGACAAGCTTGCCATAACTCCCTTGCAAATCCTGTAAGCCAGGCGGGATCTCCAGTAGATACAACTATGAAAATACCGAAACATTGAAAGTCCAGCGCGTCTCAGAGACATGAAGAACTGTCTTAAAACATAATAAATCAGATAAATTATGTTTAGATGAGGAAAGTAGATTTCCTTTACCTCATTTTTTTTTAATGCAGGAGACATAATGACGGTCATGATTATGTAAAGTCTGTCCACTAAAATTGTTCAATTTAAACTGATTTCTACTTAGGTACAGTTGTACATAGTTACAGTTATTATCTTAATTAGTAAGAAGCGTTTAACTGTAATTTAGTCACCTGGTTAAAACTCGGTAATCACAATACCGACCTCAAAGAATACCTACCAAATAAAGAAAGGAAACGTTTTATGAAGATTCCTAATTGAATTCAATTGATAGTGAGATTAGAGAGATTGAGAGTTAGTGATAGTGAGCAGTTGCTCGCAATAAAATCTTATCACTAGGATTGATTCAAAGAAAGGAAATTCAAAGGAACCAGATCATGAGGCAGATCACGTATGCGCCGGACTGATCAACTCAAACCGGCAACAGGAAACCTAGTGACAGACTGCGCCAGACAATCCACAAACATCGAAAGATGGCGGAAGGTCGTGAGGAAAGCAGTATCGGCCTCCAACACAAATACGGCCGCCTCAACATAACGCCCGTTATGCCAATAGCAAATCGACAGATAAGAAAGAGGATTGATTTACTTACCTGTATGCGTCCTCATATGCCTCTTCAGCAAGGAAGGTCGGTCGAAGGTCTTCAAGCAAACTTGACATGGGAGTATGTTCTTCATATTCGTAGTCTTCTGAGGCAGGCAGAAACTTTCCTTGCCACAAACCAAGCTGGTCCTTTCATACAACTTGACTAAATGATTATTCAGCCCTTCTAAGAACTTGAAGTCGATTATGTTTATCATTTTGTTTAGTTTTTTGCCTTTTGTTGATAAATCTAAGGGTTCTGTTTGCATATCCATCTCTCACCAAGTAACTGGGTAATTCACGTATTTCGAAATCACTGACCAAACACCAGTTATCTCTAATACCTAGTGGTAGGGATTTCCAGATGTTATAGAGGTAATTACAATATGCAGGCTAAGAGATTTTTGGAGATCCGAAGAAACTAATCATCACTCAAGGGATCCATAAGGTTAAAATATTCACTCAGCTAATAAAAGTTGTAACACGAATTAAACTGATTTCCACTTGAATTTTCACAGGTAACTGTCATAATTTCCCTTGGTCCGTCCTATAAATACGTGAAGGGCTGACGTATACAAATGACAGGGTGATATTAGTGTATTAGATTGTATAACAGTTGTGTCGATGATCGTTTCGGAGTATTGTGGTGTCGCCAACAATGAGTTTTGTAGAGCACGGGACACTAATCGACGTGATTTGACGGTTTTTTTGTGTTTTACCAGGAGGGATGTGTGTTTGGATGAGGTGGTTCAAACATTTTCTGGCAATTAGCTGGTGAAATAATTTCTAGCCGTGTGTACCTAAATGAGTCAATTCAGTAAATGGGCGTACGTCTTTTGAAACTAGACTAGTTTAAAAAAAAGACTCCGAAACAATGAAGTTTGATGCGTCCGTGAAACGTAAACGACCCTGCTACATCTGTCATATTTCACTCAGGAGTGGTTATACTATTTACAGTAGCCTACAAATACCTATAACTCTGTAACAGTGTAACATCAGAGGCAACTCGAGGAGCATTGCTAACCGTGGAGAAATTCAATTACGTTTTTTTGAAAAACTCATTGCTGTTAGCTCATGGCGAAAACCACGACAATGAGTTTGAGCAGTTTTGTGAAATTAAATATGTACTTACTCTGTAAGATAATATGATTTTGAATTTAAGTAATATAACGTTTTTGAAAATAATTGCCAAATCATCTTAATTTTAATGATATCAGAAGTACGATTTCTCGTAGTGCGTCTCGTAGCAATTCTCGTAGCATTAGGTACAAGAAATCTCAACTTCTTGTTGATGAGATAAGGACATGGTTTATTTAACCACCTCCATTTTTTCTAACATCAATGGAATGTACTGAAGAAAACGTAATCGCCTATAAAGGTGACGGTGCGAAACTTTAGATTTTCACGCTTTGTGCGACTAAACGCAAGGAAAACGCGCCCATACAAATATTTACGATTTGTCGCATTGTGGTGTGTGCTGTGAATTGAACCTTTCATAAGCTCAACAATGTATTGGGATATTTGGATCCGGGATTCGTAAAAGGTAAGTACTTTAAGGGAAATCGATATTTACATGTTATCTAAATTATGAAAATTATCGTTTGAACAAATTTCGCAGTTTGATTGGTTAAAACAGACAACGAGATTCATACTTCGTAGTTGGGTGTCCAGGTCGAGGAGTTATTCACTGATTTCGCATTATTTCAAAAATATAAAACCCAGAATAGGTACGTTAAGACCTTAGTAATTAGTGCTACGGGAATCATTTTAGATAGCTGATTCTGATGTACCTGGCTGGCTGGCTGTACCTGACTGGACCATAAAGAGATAGATTATTTTTATTGTGTTATTGTTTATACAGATGATGAGATAACTGCAGAAACGTCAATGTAATCAGTAGATACAAACACTAGTACCTACATAATTATAAACTAAAAACAAATCATAAGCAGTTCTTTAACACCAAAAAAAAGTATTGGTATCTTCTAATCACTCCGCACAAAAGCAAAGTTCACGCAGTTCTTTAATTAGCCTAAATGCTTCATTATACTAAAACCAACAGGTACACAATTGTTGAGGGAAGTGACGCGGTAGTTTGCTTCTATCATTCTATTGTGTTCACCCTATACTGCGAGGCGATTATTTTAATAAACTCTGCAACTGGGTTAAACATGGTGTATCGATAATGTGATTGATCGGAATATTGTTGTAGGTATTGGTTCCGTTATGTTTGTGGTTCATCGTGTTGGGTATAATAACGTTAGTCAGTAGATACGTTCATATAGGTAGGTAGTTATTTGTTATTAGTATCGATTTACATTTGTAAAAGTTGGGTAGGTATATATATGGATATAATTATGGTTGTAGTTAACTATGTGAACGATCATGTTTCTGCCATGTTAATTTACCAACTCAATAAAACTCTAAAGTTCAAGCTTATTATTTATCTAAATAGTTTAGAAGATTACAATAACTATTTCGACTGAGTATAGTCTATGATATGATATAGAATATGAGTATTTCTTTAGTTTTATTCGTATATTGGGTTTTATAGGATTTTCGAAATTTTTGGTAGTAACACGAAGCTACATGATTTTCAGATTACAATCCAATTCTTTTTAACTCGTCGAGTACCGGTTTTGCAGACACAATTATAGAACAATAGCTTGCGGTCACCGGTGACCGCTTGGTATTTGACAGTTTAATAATAGGTGTTTAATAATTTTCTGAAAATAGTGTATAAGTTACAATGGGGTTGACATATCCATGTGGATAAAAACCCCTTACCAAATAAAAGAGAATAAAAAAAAATCCAATTCTCAGTAAAATCACGAAGTCTGAAATTGTCCACAGTCATCACAGTGTATGTTGACAGTATATAAGCTCCCTATTACATGGCACATTGGGGTATTTAACACAAGTGGTGTAAACTGGGTGTTAAATAACTGTACGTAACTTTGCCTGCCCTATAGACTAGAGGATTCAAAGGCGTGATGTGATGCTATTTTTCTATTTTCTATCAACGGTTTATTATGATTAATGTTTCGATTAATATCAGTTTACATTATTCGCCACGTGCTACTGCTGTAACGGGGTCCACATTTTAACCACTCCTTATGTTAAGTAGTTAATACAATAATTATGACAAGCGTGTTGGCGTTAGATATGACTGATTCTGAGACTGCTTTGATCACCAAGTTCATATAAAGAAAGATTTTCAAAATTCAACTTGTTTATTAACTTAAGAATCAATATCTGTCTAACATCGAGGCAGTCCCAGTTAGTTATTATATTAGAGGTATACTTGATGAATGATGATGAAACGGAATATTTTCTCATTTTTGTACAATTATATTTATAAGACAGTATTATACAGCACACTTCCAAACAACCCATTCGGAAATCAAGCAACCACTGGGCTTATTAGCCAATTATCAGGAGCAAGACATTCTGTGGCTAATCATTATCATCAGATGATGATACCTATAGAACACTATTTATGGTAGTCAGGATCGTATGTTGTATATATGATTATGAATTTTGTAGTGAGTCGAGCCTGTGCCCGACGACGAGGTAGCTAGTAGCTACGGAGTCTGGATTCGAGGGTGACATTATGTTAATGGGCCGCCTTTTATCCCCCAAGACTTATAAATCTGACGATAAGTGGTTTGCATTTGGCGACAAGTTAGGGAAAACACGTAACGTAATACATGTTATAGATAAACTAAGAATATGTGATAACTATTTAATAATTTTTTTGATTGTTCATATATCGTAATTATTATAACACCTTTTAATGCCAGATTCGGAATCGAGGTGCAAGTCATACAACAACTACATATTTCAATCGATAATTCCTATAAAGAAAACACAAAATATTACTTATGAAGTAAAAGAATCAGCATAAATCGATCTGCATTCGCTACAAATAACATTCTCAGTAGATATACTCGGAGATACAGAACTCTGAGATGGTCGTATACGCCTCGGAATTACGCGCGGAACAATCGAACGTTTTATTTTCTTCTATTGTTATTTTCAACAAAATTCTCGAAAGCTATTCAAATTCTGCTTTGCCTCTTATTCAAATATCCTCACAAATCCGATTTACTCGCTACTTGTTAAGACTCTTTGTTTCACATCTACCTTTCTTTTTATTTATTTTTCATCTATTCGGAGGTAGAAGGAAAGTTTTATTTTGTCCCTGTATATCCTTAGATAGCTACGGACAAGTATACCTATATGTGTTGCTTGGGGTATTTTTACGGTGAATTTGGGTCAGAACTTCGATTGTATACGGAAAATTTACTGCGAATAAATGTATTTGGGTTGTTTGTGTATCGGTCGTTTTGTGAAGCAGCACTTTCTAAGCTCCCAAGTATTATTTAAGATGCCGTTGATATATTTTGGCCTGGAAATAATAATGTTTGAAATGGGCAGCTCACAATGGCAATATTTTATGAATAGTTTAGTTGATATCATAATCCAATGGTCCCATTTTAGTACTCTCTTACAAGTAGGTAATTCTAAGTTTGTTAACGTCTTATTGTTAACATAGCACATAACAGACAAGGCAGAGTAAACGTTACACCTGATATTTATAACTTATGTACCTTATATGTATACCTTATATAGGAAAGTTCTTTTACCATTTGTTTTTTTTATAGAATAGGAGGCAAACGAGTAGACGAATCACCTGATGGTAAGCGATCAGCGCCGCCCATGGACACCCGCAACACCAGAGGAGTCACAGGTGCGTTGCCGGCCTTTTAAAAAGGGAAACGCTCTTTTCTTGAAGGTTTGAATGTCGTATCGGTTCGGAAATACCGCCGACGACAGATCATTCCACAGTTTTGCTGTGCGAGGCAGGAAGCTTTTATCAAAAGTATTTAGTCTCGACAAAATAACGATAAAGGTATCATACGTCATGTCTGTCCACCCCTCCTATGAAAAACGGACGTGACGTGACGAAAGGCACTCTATTTTCAAATATAAAAATATGAAAGTAAGAAACAAAAGGTTCCCACAATATTTTCGTCAAATTACGCGCTGTATCGATCCTGGCGAGCGTCTGTTGCATAAATGCATTAGTCTGAAGATAGGCACCTCGCACTATTGAGTATCAAGTTATAGGCTGAAGCGGATAATGTGTGTGCGTTAGCGGGTGACTTCAGGTGGATACCATTTTTATCTATACAGAAAAATAAAATTCTAGTGTCTGTTTGTGATATTAAAATAACCATTTTTACTACATGCATATAAATATAAACACGAT